AACGGTTTGTGCTGTTATCGATGTAGTGGATAGGGAACTTATAAGGAAGGGTGATATTTTTGTTGATGTTGGGGGTGGGAAGCTTGTAGGTAATGGTGGTTATGTTGTCGATGTTGGGACTAGGGATTGAGTGGGCTTGAGAAATGCTATTGTCATGTCATAGTATAGGTAGTGAGCAAGCCTGGGTGGTGCATGCGTCGATATTGGCCTTAGGGTACAAATGGGTAAAGGCTATTTAAACGGCTGATAGTTTAATAGTCAATGTTTGATGCAATGAAACCAGTTTAGACCACTGTTACTGATTGTAGTTGATGACCCAATCACTATAGTATGAGCTTTAATAACTGTATCTCTCCATACATCGAGACTCTAATGTAATCTATTGGATAGAATGTCTTCAAGAACAAATAATGTCATCAAACTTCTCTGTAAAAAATTAACAAGGTATCAATATCAATAACATATAATTAAAATTAACAAGGTAATCAATAACCCTAAACTCATAAAGTTATAACTTACAACATCACTGATACCGTTTTATTGATCAATTGAAATTGAAATCAGGATTTATGTTTTAGATTTTGAATATATCTATATGAAATTAATGTATACCAAGCATCATAATCTAGCGAACACTTGTCTGGTGTCTAACATCTTTACTTTCGATGCTTAACAAACACAACATCCATATCCTATCCTTTCCAATACTAGTTTGGAAAGCTATATGCAATATTGTATAGGTTGGATGATGAATCTTGCTTAGCTTGGTACAGGGCCAAAGGGGTACGAAGAATTGTTTGTACAAATCCAAATTGTCGTAAAACCCTTTTCAGATGGTATGGTGCTACGATAGCCCTACTTTTGATACATCTCATAAAAATGTAATATCATGAAATGATTGTTCTTCTCGTCTACTAACATATGGTTTCTAACACATATTAGATATCATCAAGACATCCAATCACTCTCGTAAGGCTTGTAATTTTTTAGCGTAAATATGACTTTTCTATCATTGAACATATGGTTGATGCTCAGTGTATGTCAATATACTTACTAGACTCAATGATGAAAAGTGTCTATAAATCCATGCTTACATGAAATACATTAGCAATCAAGAATCACATGTTTATTTAATAACAAATTAATCAAATTATTACAACACATATTGTGACTAATCATATATACATATTACAGAAATATCAAATAACTAATGATTTGATATGCTTCCCTTGCTCATAATACCTTGCTGTATGTACAAATATGTTAGGCAAGCTATTCTCTATGCATATCTACTAGTGGCATTAAAGTTACTTAATAGGGATAAGTATGCTATCGATACTTTTGTCTCCCTCTTAACAACGAATAACATACACCCTAGTAAATTGAGCAATAATGCCTTAGATGCATACTCTATTGCCTGATCATCACATGTATCTGTTATATGTTTAAAAGTATCTTGCAGTCATTGTAGCCTTATAGTAGGTTCGCGAGTTTTGTTAGTCTCATTTGTTGCCTCAGATGTAAAAACTCCAAGTAACCTAACTAACAATGTGTTCACCTCATTAATTGTCAAATAATTAAATAAAGTCATGCTCTGGTGATTGGTATGTGTAGAATCGTGAACACATCATCCAACATAGTGGCAATCTCTTTGAATGATAGAAAAGAGGTGTTCGTCTTAGGCTACCACCTTTCAACAAAAATTGATACTATTGTATTATTCATCAAAGATAGGTGTAATCAATAAGTGAACCTAATCTTGGCTTGATTACATTGGCTTGGATATGTGTACATGAATCATTTAAATGCCATTACTGTAATTTTAGTCCATGATTAATTAATTTCAATGAATCTCGCTCTATAACAATAATAACACTAACAACAATAATCAACTTATTAACTTTATAGACATAAACTGATAATGAGAAATTATATGATTTAAGTGATTACTTGACCATTCCATTTTTACATTACAACATGAGATCTGAAACTCCTAAAGATAGATTTATCAATTGGACATCTTAAAAGGTTGAAAAATCTATTTTGTCCTATCATCTCCACTGCTATCATGATTGTTATGGGTGACAGGTTCCTTATTGTTGGTGGAAAGCTAAACTTGTGAAATATGATTGCTTGCATGGTCCTCAACTGACTCAATATTATTTACCTAGACTCAGCTTTTCTTCTCAGAGGCAATCGAACACCTCTAACTTGGGCCAAGATTTGTTGTAGTACATGCATGATCTCTACATCCCCTTCTCATTCGAACACCCTTACCTCTCGTTCGAGCCATATCAATTATTGTGACATGGTACGAAATATCAATTTTAATAAAAGAAATACAACAATTCAAAACTCAGACATGGTTAAAACGACATTGAATTTTCAATTCTAAGCTCACGAAAACCTTCAAAGGCTTACAGAGATCCATTTCCATAAGTCTTTGAAAGTTTACAGATTTTCATTTCCTTAAGATTTTAAAAGCTTACAAAAATTTATTTTCATAAGACTTTCAAAATTACGAAAAAATAAATTCATATGACAAGATTTCAATGAAAAATAAACTACAAGCTTAGATCGATTATTGATGATATTTAGCAAACAATAAACTAAATCTTACCTTTGGATAGATGGATTAGTCTGAAACTTATGATTTAAGGGTTTTCCAACTATTTTCTAGTTGAATTTTGGGGTTATGATGATTATGGTTGATTGTAAATAAAAAGAATTAAGAACAAAGAAAAAAAAGGGTGTGTAAAAGGTAAGGACAAAAATGGTAAAAGTTTAGGATGGGTGTGACAAGAAAAAAATTTTGATTTTGATTTGATTTTGGGTTTTTTAGTATTTGAGTGCGAATAGCATTTTATGGGGTGTAAATATAACTTCCCTTAAGTTTATTTAAAGGCAAATATACTTAACGGATAAAAGTTTTTTAAGGAATATGAATTCTTGGTGACTAAGTAATGGCCTCTATAAATATAAAGTAGGTATTGACCTTTAGAATTATAAGAGAGAGTTATAATCACTATGTGGTTTTTATGTGGATGATAGGTTTGTAGGATTGTGAAAAAAGTTAGAAAAAGCATCAAGTTACATAAGATAAAGGATATTTTATACATTAAACATTAGAGAGCCTGGAAGTTAAGATTGTGTCGATAGTATTTGTTTTTAGTATTTTTTACTTGTTGTAATCTCTATATTTGTAGGGATTCTTCTTTGGATAAAAGATATTTCATACGTTAAACATTAGAGTTGTAGGGATTCTTCTTTGGATTAAAGATATTTCATACGTTAAACATTAGAGAGTATGAAAATTGAGACTATTTTGGAAGTTTGAGATTGATGTTTATTTTTATGTTTTGTGCCTTTTGTAATCTATATGTATATAAAGAATTTTTTTTTTTTTTATATATATGGATGTAGACAATTGAGATCAAATTATATTAAATATTACCTTTTTGTTGTGTGTGATTTATTTTGAATTGATATGATATATTTTTCCTTGAAAAATTCTAACAAAATTAGATCAAATCAACTGATAAGTTTTCGTACCCGTACGGATAACTTCTCGACAAAATTAATTAATATTGTTGAAGGACTGCCATGGTAATCAAGAATTGGTGTATGGAAAATGCTATTGCATATATGAAAATGAGAGTTCTAAATGCACCCCACATGTTTTCTAAATACACTACTTTTTTTTTTTCAAAATTTTTTGTAAGTAAAATTACTTAAGTTATCTTCTTACAAGTTTTCAGATATGCACCACTTTCAAAAAATCATAATACTTATCGGAAATGCATTTTTAAAAAGGAAAAAAAGAAAATTTATGAAAATTAAAAAAAAAATTGTTAAAATTATTTAGAATTTAGTATAATGAAAAAAGTTATTATTAAAAAAATCACAAATTTTAAAATAATAAAAAATTACTTTTACTTTTTTAATTTTAGAGAAAAATAAAATCTTATGAGGTTACAATTAAATATTCTATCTCTTAATGTTACAAATGATGATGAAAAAATTATCAGGTTTAATCAATATATAAGAGTTGAAACTCCTTAAAATTGTGTAAATAATATAATTGAATACTATACAATTTTATCAAAACGCTACAAAATCACTATTGTCATACCCTCAGCCTCATGCAAATTTGAGAACCGGGAGGAAGGGTATTGGAAGAATTAGAATTAACTTGAAGTTGAAGATTTTCTTGATCGGTATTACATACTTATGATTAAAGAGGTAGTATATGTAATACCACTTAATGCTACATAATTTTGTCAAAATCTATTATGTTAATTGAAAAAATCCATTATGATAACTTAATGTAAAAACTTCTCTAAAGAGTTCAGTTTAATTAAAACTATCATAAAATTTTAATAATCGATAAAAAATATTTTATTAAAAATTAAATAAATTTAAAAATTTATAAAAAATTATATTTTTATTTTATTTTTATTTTAATTAAGATCTTATTATTTTTCTAACATGAAAATAGTAAAAATAATTTTTTATTATTTTTAAAATTTATGATTTTAATAATAACTTTTTATTACACTTATTTATAAATAATTTTAATAATTTTTTTAATTGTTATAAAATCTCAATTTCAACACTTACAAAAATATATTTTCAAGAAGTTCAAGAAATGTTATGATTTCTCGAAATTGTATTTCGATAAGTGTTATAGTTTCTCAAAAATGTATTTTTAAGATGTGTTATGATTTTGTGAGATGTATTTTCAAAATGGATTTTTAAGATGTGCTATAAAATTTATGAGATAAATATTTTAATAATTTTACTTAAAAAATAAAAAAAAAAATTGGTATATGGAGAAAAAACGTGGATAGATATACATTTAAAACTCGCCAAGGTAGAACTCTCCACCGCTAATGCCATTTTCATAAGAGATTAATATTTTAATAATTTTACTTAAAAAATAAAAAAAAATGGTATATGGAGAAAAAGCGTGGATACATTTAAACTTCCCCACGCAAGAACTCTCCACCGTTAATGCCATTTTCATAAGATATTTCGCACAATCTGTCACCACCCACCATAAATCATCGTATTTTGGAACTTGTGCAACCCTGAAAAGAAATCTGGATTCAAAGACTCACCTTCATGACTTTAGGCTTATGACAATTATTCATTTTAGCTATATGCTTTTACCACTTTACATTTTCCTCTGATTCTCTTACTTTTGCTTAGTTTCAGATATGGAGGGCGCAAAGGCCAAACCTCACGCAGTGATATTATCAAGCCCTGGCCTAGGTCATCTTATCCCGGTCCTGGAACTTGGAAGGCACCTGGTTACTGCCCATGATTCCAAGGTAACGATCTTTGTTGTTTCCTCAGGAACATCAGCGGCAGAGTCACAGGTCATTGAGTCATCCATGAGCCTGAAGCTCTGTGAAGTCATCGTGCTCCCACCACCCAATATCTCTGACCTTGTTGATGCTGACGCTGCTGTGTTTACACGAATAGCAGTTCTTATGCGGGAAATTAGACCAGCTTTTTCATCTGCTATGTCTTCTTTGAGATTCCCTCCAACTGTTCTCATAGTTGATTTCTTCGGAAATGAATCTTTAGAGATCGCTGATGAATTTAAAATTCCAAAGTTCGTTTATGTCCCATCGCATGCATGGTTTCTTGCGCTGACTATATATCTTCCAATATTACATGAGGCTGTGAACGGAGAGTATGTTGATGAAAAGGAAGGTCTGTTTATCCCTGGATGCAGGCCAGTTCAACCTGAAGAAGTAGTCGATCCAATGCTGTCCCGATCTGATCAGCAGTACTTAGAATATTTAAGTATGGCCATCAAAATTTCGAAGTCTGATGGGATTTTGGTTAACACATGGGAGGAACTGGAGCCTGCAACGCTTGCTGCTTTAAGGGATGATAAGCTCTGGGGTCGTATCAGCAAGGCACCAATCTATCCAGTTGGGCCAATAACAAAACAAACCAGACCAATTGACTCAAACAAAAAGTTATTTGAGTGGTTAGACAAGCAACCGAGTGAATCTGTGCTTTTCGTATCATTTGGAAGTGGAGGGGTGCTGTCAAAGGAGCAAATGAGGGAGTTGGCTTGGGGTTTAGAGCTAAGCCAACAGAGGTTCATTTGGGTAGTTAGAACACCGGCTGTAAAATCCGGTGATGGGTCATTTTTCACAGTTGGAAATGGCAACAATGACATACCAAGCTATTTGCCCGAAGGATTCTTGGACCGGACCAATAATGTTGGGTTGGTAATCTCAGATTGGGCTCCACAAGTAGAAATTTTAAGCCATTCAGCTGTTGGGGGATTTTTCTCCCATTGTGGGTGGAATTCAACCTTAGAAAGTATCATTAATGAAGTGCCCTTAATAGCTTGGCCCCTATATGCAGAGCAGAAAATGAGTGCTACATTGTTGGTAGAAGATCTGAGAATAGCTCTGCGATCGAAAACATTGCCATCAAAGGGAATTGTGGAGAGGGAGGAGATAAAAATGTTGGTGAAAAGGATTATGGTGGATGAGGAAGGGCATGCAATCAGGGCTAGAGTCAAGGAACTAAAATTGAGTGCAAAAAAAGCTTGGAATGAGAATGGTTCTTCTAAAGCACTGGCTCAAGTATTGTGTTAATGTTTTCTGTATCAGTTTAGTTGTATTTGCATTTGTCTCTCAAAAAAATTGTACTACCCCTTATGTATGAGACGAATAGTCCACTTTATTTTAATTTTGATTTAGCCTAGCTAGCCCATTGCGTAGAAATTTAGAACCTAAATTAACCCATTAATTTCAATTCTCCAGCCAGTTATAAGAATTTCAGGGGAAGGGAATGCCTAACCCAAATATATAGCCAAACATAAAGTTAGCCACTGAAACTAATAATTTGTGTATTTATATCATATAAATTGATAATTTATATCTTTATATCATATTTTATAAAAAAATTATATATTATAATTTATGTCGATACAAAAATATAAAATATATATTATTTTTATTAAATTTATATATAATTTTTTATTAAAATTTTAAATCGTATTATCTTTATATATATTTTTATATTACTTTTATTTTATGTCGTGTTAATGTAATTTGAATTATCAAGTCTTGATAAACTTTTTAACCAGGCCATAGTATTATCTCGAGCTCCTTTGCAACATAATCTAAAATATCGGTGAGGAAAAAAACTTTAGGTGAAGTAAGATTGATGATGCATATGCATGCGAATCCAATAGTCATGATTTTTCGGTGACAGCTGAAATTAAGGATTGAGATCATGTCTCATTGCCAAGAAAATATTGATGGATTAATGCTTTAATCATGCATGAATTTACTTGTACTATTTTATGAAAAGATAAGCATAAATATAATTAATAGTATCAAATCAAAAAAATATTAAAAGAAATTTTTTTTAATTTAAAAGGCAGTAAAATTTCATCAAGAGATTAAAAAAAATTATGTTACTTCTCTTATCAATTTTATTTTAAATTTTTGTACTCTTGTCATAATATATAATTATTAAATAAATTCAAATGTAGGGACTATTAATTTATAAGTAAATCAACTAATTTGAAATATTACAATTCTGGCAAAAAAATCATTAATTATATGTCATGTCAAAGACTATAAGATTTGGAACAAAAGTGGTGAAAAAAGTGGTGGGAATACTAATGAGAAGTGTAAAAATTCCTAGCAGCATGGGATACTCGTACCAATACAATACACCAAAAATAAAACCACCCATTAAAAAAAAAATCATACCAATAACATGTTTAATGCCCAAATAAATCACAGACAAAGCATGCCTATAGTTCAAGGAGAATTAATGAAATATGGAAAAGAATCCAAACAAGATATTGGAGTCAATTGGTCAATGATTGAATAGGTGGGTCAAAGGGGTACCTTTATCAACCATAAAGGATGGATTGGCCGAAGCAAGCCATCAAGGATGACAATATTTCTGAGCTTTTTCATAAAATAAGGTATTTAAAAATCTTTATTTCTTCAAATAAGGTATTTTTGCCATGTAAGCATTTGATTGCCTCGTAAGCCCTTGACTTCTCTCCTGATCTTGTTTTTCCTTCCTTTTCTTTCTTTTCTTGCCCACTTCTTTGCTGGATGAAACCCAAAAAAATGCACTCCTTTAATTGGATTGCCAAATCCTTGACAAAGCCAACCATCAACACAATTCAATCAAAATTGGTTAAATCCCACTTGAATTCAATTGCCCTTTTCAAACCTTCTCCACTAAACCACCCATAAAAGACAGATACAACTCTCAGAATGATAGTTGGGAAACGTCTTGGCTCTCTGAAATTTCTCCCAAGAATAGTGCTCCTTGGGAAGCTGTTGTTAAATTCCTTTCTAATGAAGAGTTAACAAAAATGGTGTTTTCATCGGACGTTGATGCAGAAACCAAGGCGTTCGTTGAAGACATGAATAAGAATTGGAACGAGAAACAAAAATCACCTTAATAGAAGAGGAACAGAGAGGGTGGTGGTTCTTATAGTTTGGAGAAATTGAAGACAGAATATAGGTTGTAAAACAGAGAATTCATACTGGGTTTTTGCTTCGTGTTATTCTTGTTTAAACTAAATGGGTTAAACTTGAAAAATATATCTTTTGAAACGTGAATGACAGCGTTCTATCCTTATAAAAAAGTAAAATTGAATTGTTATAGTTCAGTTGGTTTAGAGAGTGTAATCCCTCAATTGAATATCGCTTGAAGGCTCAGCTTTGGTTTAATCTGTTAGCAGTGTTTGAGTGTCAAACCTTGAAATTTGTAAGTGAGACCAAAGTTTAATAGATAAAGCAATTAAGTAAAGGACGAAAAGATAGAAGGGGAAAGAAAATCCTTCAGGCGAGAAGTCAAGCCTTTCTTAAATGCTAACGTGGCAAAAACTATCCCATTTTAAGAAATAGGAATAAAAATACCTTATTTTGAGAATAAAAATTTGCAAGTACCTTATTAGAGGAAAAAAAACTCCAACATTTCTCAAATTATTTTCCTCAAATTTGAAATACCATAAATTGTATCAATTACCATTAATTCAAGACATTCGCTCATGAAAAAGGAAACAAGTAATAAATGCAATGGTTTTGTCTATAAATTAGTTTAGTTACCATTAACCAAAACCCTAAATTTTTAACAATTGAACTAGGCTCTCTTGTCCACCAACAATTATTTTTTCAGCCATAGCCATGACGAATGTTAAGCCTCATGCTGCCCTGCTTGCGAGCCCTGGCATGGGACATCTCATTCCTGTCTTGGAGCTTGACAAACGAATGGTCACTCACCATGATTTTCATGCAACAGTCTTTGTTGTTGCAAGTGATCATGCCTCAACTTCGCTCCTCAAATCACCAGCCCCTAATAATCTCGACATTGTTGCACTCCCATCGGTGGAAATCTCAGGCCTAATCGACCCTAGTGCACATGTAGTGGCAAAACTTCTCGTGATCATGCGGGAGTCGTTGCCAAGTCTCAGGTCTTCAATTGGTGCCATGAAGTGTTGCCTCATAGCTTTGGTGGTGGACTTGTTTGGAGCTGATGCTTTTGAAATAGCGGACGAGTTTGGCATGCTTAGGTACATGTTCAACACCACTACTGCATGGTTCCTTGCTGTCACGTTCTATTGACTAAGCATTGATAAAGAAGTAACGTTCAAGGACCATGTTAAGGGCAAAAAGCCATTAAAAATTCCTGGTTGCAAGTCAGCATCGATGGTTTTGATGAGTTCCAACTTATGGGATCCGATATGTCTAAGATTGATGGGATCTTGATTAATACTTGGGAGGATCTTGAGTCCTCAACCATTGAAGCACTAAGAGATAATAACTACTTGGGGAGAGTTGTTAAGGTTCCCATTTATCCAGTTGGTCCACTGGTCAGGAAAGATGGAAAGCAGGTTTTAGATAAACAAGTAAAGATTTGGCTTGACAAGCAACCTCTTGAATCAATTATCTATGTTTCATTTGGCAGTGGAGGGACTCTATCGGGCAAACAAATAACTGAGTGGGCTTGGGGTTTAGAGCAAAGCCAGCAAAGATTTATTTGGGTCGTTCGTCCGCCATCAGAGAATGATGCTCTTGGGGCCTATTTCACCATAGGAAAAAACGATGGAGATAGCACCCCAGATTACTTGCCTGAAGGGTTTTTCACTTGAACCAAAGACATAGGCTTGGTGATCCCAACGTGGGCCCCTCAAGCACAAATCCTGAGCCATCCATCAGCGGGTGGATTTTTATCCCATTGCGGATGGAATTCAACTCGAGAGAGCATTTCAAATGGGTTGTCAATGATTGCATGGCCACTTTATGCAGAGCAAAAAATGAATGCTGCAATGCAAAAAGAGGATTTTGAGATTGCTGTTCGACCAAAGGTGTCACCGACTAACGAAATAGTTAGGAGGGTTGAGATAGAGCAGATGGTGAGGAAAATCATGATGGAAAAGGAAGGGCATACAATGAGGAACAGAGAGTCAAGGAATTGAAGAACAAGGCACATAAGGCTTTGAGCAAAGGCTGTTCCTCGTACAATTCTTTGTCCCAAGTGGCCAAAGATTGCTTGTGCCTTCTCCAAGCATAAGAACATGCATGAGCTTCCTACACATTTAAAATAAAAAGACAATTTGTTTTTTTTTTTTTTTTAATTTGGCTCATTTATTATAATATTAGTACTTGTTGGATATGAAATAAAAACAATGGAATGAGAAATAAATAATATTAATAATTAAAATAAATCTTTATATTTTTATTTGATGTTATTTCTGATTATATCTATTCGGAATTGTAAAATATTGTTAATTGATGAAATTTAATAAAGCCACCACACACAAAAGACTTGACAACTTAATTAATTAAATAAGCATTGCTAATAAATATAGAAAATAGAAACCTAAATTAAAATTATGCCAATTTGATAAATGATTTCTATCTAAATACTAATACATAAATATAAAAGATTAAGTCGTACACAATTTTCGTAAATAAATAAATATAATTTGATAACATCTAATCCTAAATACATAGATAAACTAGTTAATTGTTTAAAAATAGAATAATCCATTTATTCTTTCCTAATGTAAGAGGTACGCAACATAGCTTCCATTTTTATTTTTAGAACATCTTTATCCTATTGATTGACTTTTTTTATTGGTAAATAAATTATGTTTAAGCAACAGCTTAATATGATTATCAAAACTTTCTTTTACCGACCACCTATTGGATTATAAAAAATTAAATGCAAAACATTATTTTAGTTGCTTAATAAGTTTTTGTGGCATATTATTTTTTGTTATAAATTATCTTTGACAATAATTATTTTATCATTTCAATAAGTAATTTCATAATGACAATAATCGTTGTAAAATTTTTTATAAAACCACAATTTTATCATTTTTAAATTTTTTTGCAATAACAAAAGAAAATTTAATAACCATACTATTGTTACAAATAATCTTTTCACAACGAAATTTTTATTGTTATAAATGGTAAACAAATTAATAACAACCTTATTAATATTAGGAACAACAAATATTATTAACCAAAATCATTGCACAACAATATTGTCTCGTCATGAAAATTCTTTATTTTTTCATTACAATTTTTATAAAAATTAACACTCTTTACAGTTTCAAAAAATCTTTGCCCATTAAATTTTTATTATACCATCATTTTCAATACATTTGTTTTAAACTATGCAAGAACAATTAAAATTCTTAAATGAGTAAAGAATGTAATAAAATATATTAGAACAATTAAAATTCCTAAATGAGTAAAAACAATTTTGATTATAATCTAAGGTTTAACTTGCAACTCTATCGAGTTGGTTTCACAATTGATGGTGTAGCAAATCATAAATTTGCTCATTTGG